GGTGCTGGTTAAAGCTCTGTACAAAGAAATTTAGACATTGATGGATCATTGAAGGTGTAAAAGCTATAAGAGACTTCAGTGACCATCTACTCTAATTGTTCCATTTTATGCATGTGAAAATTGAGGCACAAGGAAGTTAAGTGATTCACCCAAGATCATCAAAGGTAGGACTTAAACTCAGGTCCAGGCCAGTGTTCTTTAAACTATGTGTGATGTGCTGTTGCAACAATTATTTCATTTCAAGCCTAGAGGCAATATAATACACATTAAAAGCCACATAATTTCCTCTTCTATAGTTTTAGGAAGTTTATTTTATTTTAACTAATATTTTATGTTTTCCAATCACATGTAAAGATAAATTTTAACTTTCTTTTTTTTTAATTTTGAGTTCCAAATTTTCTACCTTTTCCCCTTACTTCCCCCCTCCCTAAGATGGTAAGCAATTTGATATTGGTTCTATATATGCAATCATGTAAAACATTTCCATATTAGTCATGTTGTGAAAGAAGAAACAGAACAAAAGGGGGGAAAACACAAAAATAAGTGAAAATAGTATTCTTCAATTTGCATCCAGACTCTGTCAGTTCTCTCTCTATATCTATCTCTTTGTCTGGATATAAATAACATTTTTCATCATATGTCCTTTGGAGTTGTCTTCAATCATTGTATTGCTGAGAAGCGCTACGTCTATCATAGTTGATCATCAAATAATGTTGCCATTACTGTGTACAGTGTTCTCCTGATTCTGCTCACTTCACTTTGCATCAGTTTGTATAAATCTTTCCAGATTTTTCTGAAAACCATCTGCTTATCATTTGTTATAGCACAATAGTTTTCTGTTACATTTATATACCCCAACTTGTTCAGCCATTCCTCAACTGATGGGCATCTAGAGCGTTTATTTTAGACGAAAAGTTATGAATTCAATCATAGTTACTTTAAATTCCTAGACAGAAAAATTTAGGCAGAGATTTGGCTCTTTGCCTAAATTTACATCTATTTCTAGTTAATCTATGTTCTTAGTGACTGAGACAAAAATTCAGATTACTAGAAATGTTTGAGTAACAAAATAGCAGATTATATTATGGTGTCTACAGACAGACAGATACCAGGAGGGGAAATTGGTGAAGGAGTACATATTTACTCAGAACTTACCTCAATCTTTGAATAAGTGGGTTCACTAGTGGAAGCAATCTGAGTCTTTTGCTCCAAGATGTCTTTAATGCCAATAGCCTTCAATAGCTCTCTTATCTGCCAAAGCTCAATCCTGCCTTTCTCTTTCTCCCAGGGCTGCTGGTTCTTGGCTCAGCTTTTTATAAACCTCCCACCTCTCTGCTTCCAGATTTTTGACAGATGCCAAGAGATCTATATGGTTCTGAAATAGCTATTTCCTTTTATTCAAATTCCTTAAGATCTGACCAAATCTCTCACTTAGTGGCTTTGATTGATTCAAAGAAGTGTATGGGCCCTATTCCACAGAGTTCTGATCGATTTATCAAGCTGTTATTACCTAAGTGGAGTAGAGCAAAAAAAAAAAGTCATATACAATCAACAAATTGAAAATAATTTATTAAGAGCTTACTCTGTCAGGCACTGCACTAAGTTCTGAGGATGTAAATTTCCCAGAAACAACATGTAAATAACTAGGAACATGAAAGATATGTACAGAATGAATGGAAGGTAGTCTCAGAGGAGAAGGCATTAGCATCAAGAATATGGGAAAGGCTTCCTGCTAAAGGGGTGATTGGAGATGAATCTTGAAGGAAGCAATGGTCACCAAGAGGTAGAGTTGAAAAGGCAGACCATTCCATGTATGGAGGACAGCCAGCGTAAATGCATAGGGGATAGAGTGTCATGTTCAAGGAGTAGCAAGTGAGCTTGGGTAGCTAGAAAGCAGAGTCATGGAAGGGAATAAAGTACAAGCCAGAAAAGTACTAAAAGGTCAGGTTGTGAAGAGTTTTAAATGCAAAACAGAGGACTTCATATTTGATCCTGGAAATAATAGGTTATCACGTGAGAAGGCAGTGTCATCAATACCAAGGTTGAAACGATGATCAATAACGTGAAATGCTGCAAGAAGGATGAGGACTGAGTGATAGCATATTTAACAATCAGGAGATCATTGGCACACTGTGGTAGGGCTGTGGTTCAGCCATTCTAGAAGGCAATTTGGAATTATGACCCTCCTTCTGAAAAAATGAGTAAAATGTCCATGTTCTTTTACTTACAGATTCCACTGCTAGGCAGGTCAAAAATGGAAACGCAGTTCCAAAATGTACCAAAATATTCATAGCAGCACTTTTTGTGGTAAGAGAGAACTGGAAATAACATTCATGTCCATTTAGTGAGAAATGGCTAGATCGATTACAGTACTTAAATGTAATGTAATGTTACCTTCTGTAAAAAATGATGAGCTTGGAGAATTCAGAGAAGCATGGAAAGACTTATATAAACTTTAGAGTGAAGTAAGTAGAACCAGGAAAACAATATACACAGTGACTACAAAAACTGTAAATGGAAACAACAAAATGAAATCAAACACTGAGCAATGACCAAGAAACCTGACCTTGAATTAAGAGTTGAGAAAATTCACCTTCTTCTTCATAGGTGCAGTACTAAAGGTGTGGAATATTCCACATGCTGTCACTCTTGATTAACGTCTTGGTTGGTTTTGCTGAACTGATTTTGTTTTCTTTCTTTTTTATTTTTTGCTATAAGGGTAGGAAGGAAGAGTAGGATATATTCAGAAGTGAAATTAACAAAAACAAAATATGTGTCAATATCACCTTTAAACAAAGAGAGATCATTAACGACCTTTGAAAGAACAGCCCCGAAAGAGGAATTGGATTGGATGTCTGAATACAAGAAGCTTATTGAGGAACAAATGGGTGGTAAGAAAGTGGAGGGGGTGAATTTAGACTGTCTGAATGAAGCGGAGGCAGAGAGACCTGAGCATATTTGCTACCAGGGAGTGAGGAAAGAGTTTATGTGCAGAGTGACATTAAAAGCAAGCTCTTAAAATGGCAAGAGTTGATGCTATCAAAGGCATGAGCAAACACATTAGACTTGGAAAAGAAAGAAGAGTCATCTCATCCACTGACATTGAAAAGTAACATAAGAGGGGCAGCTAGGTGATACCATGGATAAAGCATCTGCTCTGAAATCAGGAAGACCTGGGTTCAAATCTGGCCTCAGACACTTACTAGCTGTGTTACCCTGCACAAGTCACTTAACCCCAATTGCCTCACCAAAAAGGAAAAAAAAAACATAGGAAAGGCTCAGGGAAGATGATAGAGTTTTAGAGATGAGATGAGGGGAGAAAAAGGAGCTCACATTAGATGAACTCAATCTCATTAAAGTGGGAAGTGAGTTAATCTATTAAAAGAGAGTAAATGGAAGTGTAGTTAGATGTGAAGTAGCCATTGTAGGGCCTTTGATAAAGAATCAATTAGAGAACAGTAAAGCCAGGAGGACCCACTTGATGTTAGATAACATGAATTTGTAGTGACCCCATTCTGTACAATTGTTTGCATTTTCTCCAGCAATATTCACTGACTCTAGATTAGGAGAGAAGGTAGACCATAGGAGCATCAATTTGGAATTAAAAGGGGCCTTACGGATCAGTTCAAATCCCTCATTGTTCAGGCGAGGAAACCAAGGCCAAGCGAGCAGCAACATTTGACAGTGGGAAGGACTATGAGGCGATCAAAGACAAAGGGACAAAAGACCTAAGTTCAAATCCCATCACTGATGCTTACTCCCTGTCTAACCTTGGGAGAGTCACTTAATATCTCCAGGACTCACTTTTTCTCTTCTATAAAATGAGGAGATTGGACTAGATGGCTGAAGCCCCTGGTAGCTCTGGTTCTATGATCCTGTAATGCCATAAAGTTCAATGACTTGTCTAAGATCACCCCTTCAGTAAATGGAAGAACCATGATTCATACACAGGTTCTGTGGCCCCAAACCCTGGGTTCTTTCCATTGTAGAATGCTGCTTGCCTGGCCTGCTGCTTCTGCTGTTTTCTCAAGTCTTGGGGAGGGATTTATTTAGACCAGCAGAATTGATGGTACAGAAGCTTCAGAGATTACCAGTAATAAGAAAGTTTTCCTTTTCATACTAACAATTTTTTCTGTCTTCTTTCTACTCCCCTTCTGAAAAGTCTGGCCTTAAAGGACTCAGGTGAAGATTGAAGTAGCTCTGGGTACTATTCTTATTTCAGGTGAATTTATTTTCTCATGGAACCTCAAATATTCTTTTATGACTCTAGTAGCCTGATCTGAAATGATGAAATGGAGATCCTAGCATTATTGGGGATTATTCAAGAGAGTTTGGATTAATAGAAGCAGAAATGGTGGAAGGACAAAGGGACTGGGGACTCAGGAGTGGACAATTGTATCTTGTGAAACTGTTTACCTCTGACTGTGATGACAGAAAAGTGAAACTAGGTTAAGGTGATAGATGGAGAAAACAGGGAGGGATTAAAAGTAGTTCTTAAGATTGCAATGAGAATGCAGAACAAGTTTGGGAGGAGTGAGGCAATAGGAAGGGTGGAAGGACAGAAGATTGTGATCAGAGAGAGCAATTGCAGAGCTCAGGATCTTCCCTCAATGGGTTCTGGTTTTAGGAGATTGTGGTCGGAAGTAGAATTGTCACTCCTGTGGAGGGCTGAGGTTGAGTAGAGACAAAAGTCATGGGAACTGAGGAGGTCCATGAAGAGACAGGACAAGGTGTTCAAAGGATCATTAGTGTGAAAATGGAAGTCGATCAGGATAGGGGTAGAGAGATTGACCTGAGATGGGGGATTGTGAGCTAGCTACTGAGTCCACTTGAGGAAGGGGGAGGATTGGCTGCATCTGTAGATTGAGAGGTGACAAGAAGAATCTGGACCCACGACGAGCCTTGCTGTTTCATTTGTATCGCTAACTAAACCTAAACCTGTCTAGTTCTGGAAAGGACATTTCTGAAGGCTTTTATCCTTTATTTGTGTTTCTGCTAAGCTTCCCCAAGAAATGTCCTTTTTTGGAACGGGAACTGGGACAGAAATTCCTGCCTGTATTTCATTGCTTACGTCTACATGGTATCACTAAAAGTAAGTTACAGTATGTGTGTGTGTGTGTGTGTGCGTGCGCACGAGCACACATGCGCGCGTGTGTACTCTGTAGAATGATTCCATTGTCCTGCATCCCTCTACCTCTTCAGCCATTCACTGGGAGGCTACCACCAGGTGTGTTAAAAATCTGAGCCATAGCCGCTGTGTCCTGAACTAACTGTGAAATAGCAAGTATGTGCCTGTAAGCTTTGGGCCTGAATGAAATTGAGTTTTGACCAAAGGAAATAAGCTAAAAAACAAAAATAAAAATCTAGAAGTTAAGTATGTGCTGTCTCTACTTTATACAGTATTCCCAGAATCCTACAATGCTGGGACTAGAAAAGCTCATAGGCACATTAGGATTTCAAACTGAAAGAGATATTAGACATCATTTAATTCAACCCAGCTAGGTAGTGCAGTGAATAGAGTGCTGGGCCTGGAGTCAGGAAGACTTATCTTCCTAGGTTCAAATCTGGCTTCAGACACTTGCTAGCTGAATGACCCTGGGCAAGTCACTCAGCCCTGTTTGCATCAGTTTCCTCATCTATAAAATGAGTTGGAGAAAGAAATGGCAAACCACTTCAGTATCTCTGCCAAGGAAACTCCGGATGGGGTCATGAAGAGTTGGACACAACTGAAAAATGACTGAACAACAATTCAACCCTTTCATTCCACAGATAGCCAAAGAATTGATTGGATTTATCCAAGGACACACTATCTAGTTATTAGCAAAATTGAGATTGCTTCATTCAGATCTCTTAATTCTCAATCCAATACTCTGTGCTCTATAAAACAAGATGATCTGATAGGTTCTTTTGGGGGAAAGCTGGGTGTATTAACTAAAGTCAAATACTGGTACTCCCATAATCTAGTGCTATGGAGAGTAGAAGAAGGCACCAATGGCCTGAGGGAGGAGGTGGACGGAGAAGGGACATGGGTCAACATGCATATGCAACTCTAAGAAGGGCATGTAACAAAATTTATGTAGACAGGCCTTACGAACTTTGAAAACTATTTTTAAAGCTCTTTTCCACTTTTAAAGTGTATAGAGAGAATCATAGCACTCAACAGCAGTAAATGGATCAGATTAACTTTGTCAGGGTTATTTTACAGATGCATATCAAAAACTGATTCATCAATTTAGAATTGCCCTTAATGTACACATACCATAGCCAGGAAATAACAATGCTTTCAGGGAGAGTGCATTGTTACTTTATATAGTTACTTGGTCTATAAATATTCCATAAGTCTTATAAATTTGATGACCCTCTGAATGAAGGCTCAGGGAAGGTTAACTTTAAAAACTTTTTAAAAAAAGACTTTCCCCCCAAATACTAATTACCACTCATCATTTTTTCAGCACTTTGTTATAAAATCTTTACATATTTTATTTCATCTTCACAACAGTCCTATGAAGTTGATTGTGCATGTCTTTTAGCCCCATTTTACAGATGAGGAAACTGAGATGTAAAGAGACTGACAAGTGCTCAGGAGTACACACATGCTCTCTTTACTACTGGATATAATATTTGAAAGAATAGAAAAGCACTACAAAGGGTCTTCATTGATTATGCTGACAACTTCTCAAATCAGAAATCTGATGTCTTAAAGGTGGTTCTCAAACAATGGTCCAAGATTCTTTGGTGGTCTGTGAAAGCCCTCTTGGGAGCTGGGCATCTGTTGTCTTACAGAGTAGATATTTTTAATACTATAGGGCCAATTCTTTTGTTTGAGACATGTTATTTAATTTATTCACTGTTCTCCTAAAAGAAAACAAGATTGTAGATGTCAACAGAGGCCATTTCTACCTCTTCTGGTCCTTGGGACCTTGAGTCAAGAAGGAGGTGGGACCAAGGCTACTTCTAAACCCAGGGATCTAGAAAGTTTGGAGAGGGACCTGTGAGTTTTGGAGGCAGAACAGTGATTTTAATTCAGGTCTGTGACCAACTGGCCATGTGACTTGGGCAAGTCACTTCCTCTCTATGAGCTTAAGTTGTCTCAACTTTAAAATAAAAGTGTTGGACTAGATAAGCCCCATAGTCCCTCCCAGCTCTAACCATCTACATTCAGAATATTTGATGCAAGGGAGACAAGAGCTATTTATCTTATGAATATCATTGCCAGTCTTCCCAAGGGTGCTAGTGCTTTTCATATTGGCTTTAATGATGCCAAATGGGAGTGAATAAGTAAATTATCCACTGGGTATTTTGCCCTGCCAGCATAGTCCATAACCTGAAAAAATTAGAGAGTATGAATTGATAATTCATTTCTGAGATTATGAAACTATGAAACAGACAAGCATGCCTGGTTCTTTGGGTACTCACCAGGGAAGCCCATGACTGACCCCAGCAAAGGGGATGGCAATCACGCTTCGGTTAAATACACAAGGTATGGGGGTAAAGAGCCTAGAAAGTCAGAGACAAGCAGTGAAAACTGGGACAGAGTGGATGGGGTGGTGAAGGAAGACAAATAGGAAAAAGGATGGGGAGGGGGAGAGGCAGAGAATATCACTCACATACACATGGATTCGAACTGGGAGCCCTCGGCCGCTTGGACCCGATGGAAAGGGAAGAATACTCGGAGGGCAGAAGTTTGCTCTCTCATTTTCATAAGGTGTTTTGGGGAAACAGGCCAATACCTCTTGATGCCATATCTAATAAATTTAAAACACCTGTTATCAGTAAAACGTCAAAGCCATCATCCCAAAGTTATCAGCCCTTTTGATGTTCCAGTCTGGATCAGCTGTGGTCTGGATTCTTGTCCAGAATTTACATATCACAGAACCAGAACCCTGCCAGCAGCATTTAGAGGTAGAAATCCTGATTCAGCACTTATTACCAGGTTGTGAATTCTGGTTAAGATTCGATACAGTTTGTAAATTATACTCCTTTGATCTTTGACATGGTCTGTGCCTGATTCCCAGTTTGCCCTTGTCAATCTTATTTCTACTTTTGTCCCTTTATACGGGCTACCTATGGGGCAGCTAGATGGTGCAGTGGATAGAGCACCAGCCCTGAAGTCAGGAGTACCTGAGTTCAAATCTGGCCTCAGACGAAACACTTCACACTTACTAGTTGTGTGACCCTAGGCAAGTCACTTAATCCCAACTGCCTAAAATAAATAAAATTTTAAAAAATACACTGGCTACCTCTGAACTTATTTACTCTACTGACTAGAAGGAAGGGTGGTGGAGGTCAGGGAGACCAGCACAAGACACAATTTTAACACAAGGTACATAAAGAAGTTTGGTATTGGGCTAGAACTGATTATGAGATGCATGAAGTAAGGCACTGAGAGGAGAAGATTGATAGTGGAAGAGTCTTCCAGTTAAAGCCCAGGGATGGTTAAGTAGGGCAGTCCCCCTACCAATAGCTCAGTGTTGTATGGCCCTGGAACATACCTCCTAACTCTCAGAGACATGTGGCTTTCAAGAGACTCCATCCCCAAAGTTAAGTTATTATATACACAGTCCAGAAAAGTTCCTCTTTAAAACATGAACTACCACTCAAATTAAAATTAATCCATTCATCACGTGTCAGGTTTATGTGTACGAATCTAAAGAGAAAGAAACAACATGACTTTGGCATGAAAATAATTGAAAATAAACACACATGTATTAGTCCCACAAAGTCTTATTTGAGCTTTACCAAACTCAATTTGAAAAGGGTACCGTTCCGTTTTTTTTTTTTGCCCCTCAACACCTAACCTCATTTTTGTATGTGAAATTTTTGTGGGGTTTGTTATGAATAAAACTTTTCAAATTTCTCCTTTTTTTTTTTCCAAGGCAAGGACCTGGAGGATATAAAGTACATTAACTTCTTCCCTGAGGCACGGATAGTCCGAATTTTAGCCAACCACTACCGTTCGGTGAGTTGCCCTGCTTAGAAGAAGCAGTCCTATGGATTTGTGGCCTTTCTGACTCTCCCCTCTTCTCTCCCACCACGGAGATGGGCTTCCCATCTTCAACTACACTGGAGATCTGTGCATCTGAGGTGGTGACCAGTCTAGAGCCGGCCTCACGCAAGTAGCTGGTGAAGCAGCACCAGGAAGGGGTTACAGCCTTTGGGATTGGGGGCTTTTCAGCGTCCCCACAAAGGAACGGACCAGTTCTGCTGTGCTAGGCCGCCTGCGGGAGAACAGCAATGACTTGCGTTTGTAGAATTCTCTGAGAGATAAGAGTGGTAGAGGGGCCTGCGGCCAGCTTTGGGGTAAGGAAGACTTGGCTTGAGTCAGGTGTTGGCCATGAGTTAGCTGGGTGGCCTTGGATGCATGCTTCCAGTTCTCATTATCGCAGGTAATTCTAAGATGAAGTTAGAGAAGAGCTGCTCATATGCATTGGTGGAGGGAATTCGCTCATGTGCACTGGTGGAGGGAATTTCCATATCCAGAATTCCTTACCTGTTTTAAAATGATAGGTCCAGGCTTTACACACACACACACACACACACACACACACACACACACACACACACTATATATATATATATATATATATATATGGATACTTACATGTATGTACACATTATATCGATACAAGTGCATATGTATATATACACACACATGCGTGTACTGTACGCACACATGCATACTATATGTGCATATATACATACAGATATACATATATACACACATGTATATATACATGCACATATACCTAATACATATACATAGAGATAAATATATATGCATCCTATGTATACATGCACATATATGCATGCATGCACATATATACACATTATATACATACCCATATACATATTATATATGCACATATATACACAAATACACGTGTGGATGTGTGTGTGTGTGTGTGTGTGTGTGTGTGTGTGTGTGTGTGTGTGTGTGTGTACATAAATACCCATTTTGGCCCCATGGACCTCTCTGGGTCCATATTAAGTAACTTTCTCAAGATTACACAGTTGCCAAGTGTCAGGACCAACGTCTTCTGCCTCCAAGTCTACTCTTCAGGCAGATTCTTTTTACCAGGCCACGTTGTCTTTCAGTTGAACAATGTGCATAAAAGATGGTGTCCTTGTCCCATGAAATAAATGTGCTTTTGATATATTTTCAACTTTGTATTCTTAGAAATGAAGATGTCTTGTTAGTATATCGATTCTGAAGATTTGTGGTTCACTGATTAAACTCCCTGTTAGGTGAATGGTAAAGTCTAGACCAGGGGTCTTACGAGTCTTGGGTGTATGTGATTAGATTTCCAAGGACTATGAATTTGGGTTTTTAAAAAAATATATTTTTATAATTATATTTTTAATATTATTTAATAGAATTGGTTTTCTTCATAATCCTATGTATTTTATTTTATACATTTAAAAATTTTCTGAGAAAGGGTCCAGAGGCTTTACCAGACTCACTGTTCAGGGGTTCATAACACCAAAAAAGATGAAAAATCATTACTTTATAGTCTTTCAGTACTATAACTGTGAGGTGCCAAAGGTGGCAGGGAAGAGACCGCCTCCAAGGGCCTCCCTCCCCTCCCCCACCACCTCCACCTTCTTTTCACTTCTTAGCTGTTTATTCTTTTATGAATGCTTTTAAAACAGAAATCTCATGGTGCAACACTCCAGGGGTTGCATTAGAATTAGTGGAATTCAGGATGGAAGGAAAACAAGGTAAGTACTAACCTGAAGGGCATTTAATGTCTCTGAATTGTGTACATTTCAGCTTGAGAGTGGTGGAGACATGTTTCACGTGAAAGATCTTTCTACACAAGCTATAAGATTTGGTCTCCTAATTAATCAGGTATGTAATAACCAGAGTGGGCCCCCAGTAGCCTGCCATTTTTGACATCTAAACATCACTGTACAAGTATACAATTGACATTTCCAAAATAAAGGCTGTAGACCCTGCTCTGCTATTAATTGGCTATGTGGTTATGAAGAAGTCATTTAATCCCCCTGGGCCTCAGTTTCCCCACCTATATAGCATGACAGGCTAGACTACATGAGGTCCAAGTTTCTTTCCATCGCTAGTATGTGAAGATTCTCTGTAGTTTTGCTATAAACTTTCATCTATTTTCTTTAATATGCAATGTCTTTAAATACCCAAATAATGGTCTATAACTAACTGGATCTCTCAAGCTTTTAAAGAATTGTTTAAAAATATCTTAGACTAGAATCCAGTTGTAAGCATATGCACTTTATATACTGCTTTATACAAATGTGTGTGTATGTGTGTGTGTGTGTGTGTGTGTGTGTGTGTGTGTGTGTGGAGACAGACAACACAGAAAGAAATTGTATAACGAAAACTTCATCAATTCACTCTCTTGAGAGAAATATTAAAAATCCAAATAGTTTTTTTAAAAATACTAATAAGTTACATAGTATTTTATGATTACAAAGTCCAGTTCCTCCATTACTTCATTTGCTCCTCACATAAAACTTGTGAGGTAGGTAGTTTGGGTATCTTTTCCTCCATTTTACAGGTGATGAAATTGAGGCAAGGGGTAGACAGCCCTGTTGTGATGAGTCTTCTCTCCACTGCCTTCTCTTCCCTGAAGCTTCCCCCAGCTTTCCCTGCAATTTTCCCCTACACATTATCTTGTATTTTCTTGCTTTTTATACTTGATATCCCACCAGTTGAATGTAGGCTCCTTGGAGACAGGGACTACTCCCTGGTTGTTGGTTTTTTACGGAAATTTTTCAGTCTTTGTATTCCAGGACCTAGAACAGTACTAGGTATCTGGTAGGATTTTAAGAATTTTTTAACTCAAGTAAGTATTTTTTGTATGTAGCATAAAAATCCTCCTTGCCTGTCTTCTCGTGTGGAATGCCCTACTCCACTTCCTTACATCCGACCTATCATTCAAGGCCAGGTGAAAACCTGCCTCCAAGGCGTAGTAAGAAAAGTGTTGACCTCTGATTCAGAAGACTCAGGTTAAAGCACCAAACCGGTTACTCACTTGCCTATTGGGACCAAAGAACTTAAGCGAGTTATCTCCTTTCCCTGCACCTCAAAAAATGAATGATTTAGACTAGGTGATCCCTATAGTTGCTGACATTCTGGAATTCTTCTAGGAAGGTGGAAGGACCCCTCCTCCACCCCCATCTCCCTTTTCGAAGACCTGTTGTTTATTACCAAATAAATAGCATTCAGGGTCTTTACAAACATTTGTTGATTGGCTGAATGTGTGTCACCTTCTCAACCAAACTATACGTGTTTAAAGAGCAGGGACCATAGGTTTTCTATTTCTGTTGGCTCCCTATAAAATCTAGCCCACAACCTTGCACATAGTAAATACTCTGACATTTTCAAATTGATTTAAATATTTATCTCTGTTAGGAAATGTTAAGCAACCCTTTTGACTAAGACTAGAATTAAAATAAAGAACATTTTTTTCTTTAGTTTTCTTGCCTGGGTTCTCTGTAGGTTTATGTTTCGATTCACTTCTGAAAGACAGGTTGGTATAGTGCAGGGGTGGGGAACCTGCAGCCTCCAGGACACATGTGGCCTTCAAGGTCCTTCGGTGCAGCCTTTTGACTGAGTCCAAGTTTTACAGAACAAATCCTTTCATTAAGGGGATTTGTTCTGTGAAGTTTGGATGCAAAGGGCTGCACTTGAGGAGCTGGAGGGCCACATGCGGCCTCGAGGCCGTGGGTTCCCTGCCCCCGGGATAGTGGGTAGACAGGGCTGGCTTTGGAGTCAAGAAGCTCTGGGTTCAAATGCTACTTCTGACACTTTCTGATTCACAGCATCACAGATTTAGAACAGGGAGGAACTTTACAGGCCATCAAGTCCAGCATTTTCATTTTGCAGCTTAAGAAACTGAGGCACAGTGCTTTTCCCAGGGTCACACAGCCAATACATATCTGAAGTAGGATCTGAACCCAGGGATTCCTGGCTCCTATTTTACCCACAATGATATGTTGTTTCTCACTGGTTCTCTTAAGTAAGATTATACTTGCTCCTTGCACATGTATCCAGCCTAGAAATAAAGATAGTACTCCATAGAATCTAAATGCATTTTAAGGAAACTAATGCGCACATATTGCAAGAGGTTCAATCTTAATTATCTTAATGGGGCAGCTAGGTGGTGCACTGCATAGAGTGCTAGGCCTGGAGTCAGGAAGACTCATATTCCTGAGTTCAAATCCAGCCTCAGACACTTAATAGCTATGGGAGTCTGGGCAAGTCACTTCACCCTGTTTGCCTCAGTTTCCTCATCTGTAAAATGAGCTGGAGAAGAAAATGGCAAACTATTCTAGTATCTCTGCCACGAAAGCCCCAAATGGGGCCACAAAGAGTGAGACATGACTGAAATGATTAAACAGTAGCAACCACCTTGATAGAGCGTAGAGCCTGGAGTCAGGAAGAGCTGAGGTCAAACCTGGCCCGAAACACTTACTAGCTGTGTGACCCTAGATGAAGTTACTTAACCTCTGTTTGCCTTGGTTTCCTCCTCTGTAGAATAGGAATAGTAATAGCGACTAACCTCCCAGGGTTGTTGTGAGGATCAAATGAAATGATATTTGTATAGCAAGTGGTGCTTTATACTAAGTACCTGGCGCATAGTAGGACCTAAATAAATGTTAGCTATTATTATTATTTATTAGATTCTATAAATTGATTCTAATGCATAATATAGGTTACTTTCAGCCATCCAGGCAATTCTCTGAGACTTTAAGTGAAAGATTGCAAATCTTTACTGGTGGGATTTTCTTCACCTTCCCTGATGAAATCGTAGGTCTATATCCCTCTTCTCAGCCCAAAGCAAAGGGTACCTACCATAATCAAGGAACTGAGGAAGATAAAACAATGAACAGGATATAATCTTCCTCCTCAAAGAGGTTACAGTCTAGCGAGAAGAGAAGATGTGTGTGCCAATAATTATAATACAAATCACGCTATAACGAATGTGTAGGAGAAGTTTAACAAAGGTTCTGAAAGTCTTCCTTTAGGAGCTGTCTCTCCCAATTAGAATGGGAGCTTCTTGAGAGCAGAGAATGCTTTGATTTTCTATTTATATCCCCAGTACATAGAACACACAGTACTTGGCACATTGAAGTGCTTAATAAATGATATTCCATTCCATTCCATCCAAGGAAGGAGAAGCTACTTCCAGCTGGCACGATCAGGAAATGCATCGTGGAAGTAGCACTGGGGCTGGGCCTTGAAGAATAGGTATGAAGGATTGGCTATGATGACCATATATCCCCCACCCCTGGGGATTTTCTGATCTAGGATGAGAGGAAGATAGTGAGTGGAGAGAGAGCTGGTGACCTCTCTGCTGAACTCAGTTCAACTCAACAAGCATTTATTAAATACCTACTGTGCGCAAGAGACTGAGGGGTATAAAGACAATATAAAAAATAGTCTCTGCCAACAAAGGGCTTACACTTTATGGGGAGGTTGTTTATAACATTTAAACATATGAATAATACATTATGACTTGAGCAAGGAGAGAGCATGAGGAAATAGGACCTCAGGGAAGGTTCAAATATTAAGTGGATGTTCCAGTGGGGGAGGTTGGGCAATCTGGAGTCTGGTTCTGACTGGGCTGACATAGCTGTGTTCCTCATCTGTAGAATGAGGAAGTTGGACTGAATATTGTCCAAGGTTCCTCCCAGTTGTAACGTTCTGCACGTCCACTCTTAAATAGTAAAAATTATCAACCACTTGGTCGAGATACAGCATTCAATCATGTTATATCTTTGATTGTAACCTTCCCCTAGTCTAACCTGTGGAACAAATTGATATCTGCATCTTCACTTGCCAAAAAAAAAAAAGTTAGTTAGTGGAACTGTAACTAGGAATTTTTTCACCTAGGGCAAACAAAAAACAAAAACCTTAGAAGCGGGACAGGTGGGGTGGCAGTACAGAGGATGATATAACATAGGCACGATCAAAATTAATATAATAATAGTAACTAACATTTATACATCACTTTAAGGTTTACAAAGTACTTTGGAAATAGCTCATTTTATTCTCCCAACAATCCTGGGCAGCAGGTGCTATTATCGTCCCCATTTGCAACTGAGGAAACTGAGGCAGACAAAGGTTAAATGACTTGGCCAGGATCACACAGCTAGCAAGTGCCTGAGGCTGGATTTGAACTCAGGTCTTCCTGACTCAAAGTTTAGTGTTCTGTCCTCTGTGCCCTCTACCCACTTAAGAGAGATGGCTGTTCCAGGTTGGTTGCACTGACTCAAATGAACTTTGACATTTCAGCTTGGGGTGGCAGAAGACTATAAAGTAAGGCTCACGGCAATAACTATAGGAAGCATAAACCACCCCTGCCAGATGTGAACACTGTGGGACAAAGCCTCATTTATTCTATTATAGTTCTATGAATCAGTACTGAAGATTGAAAAAGGCTAACTCTTCAGAGCTAAGCATAAACAGAATTCAATAGAAATATGGCAGCCAGAATCCCAAGAGCCAGTCACAGTAATACTATCTTTCTTGCTGGTTTTTAATAGTCACCTGCAAATAAGCAAAGATATTACATAAAATCACTTTTCTTTCTGTATTTATTTATAGCACTCCTAATAACAATCCCCAAATTCCATTTTCAGGATATCAGAGGCAGGATAACGTATTAATGTGTTTTATTGATCATAATAATGCCTTACGACTATAGAGTTTTGCAGTTAGGCACTACTTCATATGCCATTTATTTGATTTTGACAACGACCCCATTAAGGGAGGTAGTCTACTTCACATATAAGAAAACTGAGTCTTATAAAGGTTAAGTAACTTGACCAAGATAATATACTAAGTGGCAAAGTACTCACTCGATGCCCAGTTTTAGCACTTTGGCACTTATTAGGTATGTGACTGTGTGCTAGTCACTTAACTCTTCTGCCTCAATTTGCTCACCTCTAAAATAGAGATAATAATACTTACTCCCCCCACATGATACTATTGCACTGTGCAAATTTTAAAATGCTATTTAAAATGAGTGGGATTTTTTAAAAAAACCCATTGTTGTTATTATTCTGATTCCCAACTTCATGCCCATACCACATCATCTCAAGTACCTTCTATGGAAGGCTCCCCCATCTCTCAGCCATGTCTGCATTTACAGGCTCTGGGCCCGTGTCTGTTGGTTACCTTCAATGTAGCTAGAATACACATGTGTTCAGCTGGGTTTTGTTTGTTTGTTTGTTTGTTTTAGGCAATTGGGGTTAAGTGACTTGCCCAGGGACATACAGCTAGTTGGTCTGAGGCCAGATTTGAACTCAGGTCCTCCTGACTTCAGGGCCGGTGCTCTATCCACTGCACCACCTAACTGCTCCTTTGGCTAGTTTTTAAAGTACCTTAAGTGGCCAACTCATCAATCACAATCTATGTGCAACATCATAGATGTGCAACAGTGATGTATTTAGACAGTCTCTTGGACTTCAAAGAAATGCACTGAGGTGTTCTCTTTCCAAAAGTTGGAAAATAATGGTTTTTCAATCCAGTAGCCTGCTGATTGTGTTCTCTTTGTCACTCAGAAACAAATGGAATGGTTCAGAACAGATTTGACTTGTCATTGAATGACAATCTTTGGATTATAGCTATAGGATAGCTTCCTTTGTGGTTCATATTATTTGAAGGTTGGAAGTCTTGTATAGATTTTGACATTTAAATCAAGTGTCAAATGAATCATTTGCCTGAATTAAGTGACAGTTTTTCTCTATTTTGTTGTTCATCTTTTTGTTCTTCAACATAACCTAGGAAAACAAGATTTACTCAGAAATGATTGGTGTGTATGGATTCTTCTTCGAAATTAAGGGAATCAAACATGGTGACTCCTCTTATAGTTTTTACATGCAGGTAAGAAGTGAGTAACATCCAGGAAAGTAAAATCTGTAAAAGTCTTGCTTTTGCATAACTGAAGACTGAAAAAAAGAGACCTTTAAAAAAATCACCCTTCCATAATGAGTAATACTTGGTGTCAGACAAATGGAAAAGAAGACTAATTTTGTCTGAAAGGGGGAGTGTGGTGTAGTGGAAAAGAGCCCTGGAAAGTCAGTCAGGAGGTTTGACTTGTGATTCTGTCCCATGCCACTAACTGACTATGTGACCTTGGTCAAGTCATTTCATTTCTCTCAGCCTCTGTTTTTTTTTTCTAATTTGTAGAGTGAAAGGAAAATGGAATCTCTAAAGTATTAATAAAATGTATTTGACAAATTACGTCAGTGAGTTTGACTTTAAATCTTGGTGTAAAATTCTAGGAAGTTTAATTAAAGGGACAGTGAAGATCAGAGTCAGAATTGCTTCATCAAGAATAAGCTATGCCAAATTAACCTAGGCAGCAGTTACGTAGCACAGAATGCAGATAGAGGGCTAGCTACACTTAGAGTCAGGAAGACCTGAGTTCAAATCCAGCCCCAGACACTTACTGGTCGTGTGACCCTGGGCAAGTCACTTAACCACTAACTGCCTCAGTATCCTCATTTATAAAATGAAGTCAATAAAAGCACCCATCTCTCAGGCTTGTTGTGAGGATGAATGAGATAGTATTTATAAAGTGCTTTGCAAACCTTAAAGCAACATAAATGCCAGCTATCATGTTTAGCATCAGCACTGGGATTGCTAGACCAATAGATCAGGGGATGCTGTGGGTGCAATACAGTAAGAGCTTAGCAAAGCAGTTGACAGTGTCTCAAAGACTGTTCTTGTGGAAACATAAAGAGATGTGGGCTAGATGACAGCATAGCTTGGCAGATTGAGAACTGGTTAATTGGCCAGCCCCAAAGGATGGTCATGTATGGTTTGAGATCAACTTGGAAGGAGGTTTCTAGTAGCTCTAGGGAGTCTGAGTTGGTCCTATGCTATGTGACTTTTTTTTTTCAAAGACTTGGATTAAGGCATAGAGGTGCACTTGTCAAATGTACAGCTTATGGGAAGGTAGGAGGGAAAGCCAACTTTGGGTGACAAAGTCAATATTTTAACAGATCTTGACACACTGATATCAGATTAAATCTCTTAAATACTCAAGTATTCAGACTGATCTGAGATCTCATTGATAGAGGATCCCCTCCAACAATGAGGATCACAGTCTATCTCTATCTGCCCATCCTGCATGACTCTTAGTTATACCTTCTGTGCCAGAAGCCTCCCTCTCTTTCTTTTGACATCACAAGGATGGCAGTGGAGCTTTCAAGTTCTCCATCTATCCTGTCCTTCATCCTCACCAATCCATCTTCATTTGCTACCAGACATTTCCCAGTTGACATCATTTACTTGTGTTCTTCAAAGTTCCTCATTGATTATATATTGCCATTTGTTCACACCTACCATGTGCCGCCTCCTCTACAGTGCCCCATATGTGCTGTTCATTTTCACTTCTTCAGAGACTACTGTGTTCCATCTTTCATTGCCAGAGTTATGCGAACTCTATGGACTGAATCTAATGAGAAGAGATCTCAGGAGGATAAATGTAGACTTAAATTCATAAATACAAGATGGGGAAGGCAGTTATGCCTACATGAAGAAGATCTAGGGGGTTTAAAGGACTGCATTCTGAATATGAGTCACCAACGGAATATGGAAGTGAAAGAAGCTAATGCCATCTTAGCCTAGATTGAGAGGCATAGTATCCATGACTCTAGAGATGTGAAAGTCCCAGTGTACTTTGCTCTGATCAGACAACATTTGGAGTACTGGGTTCAGTTCTATGTTCCACATTTAGGGATAATAATGATAATCTGTAGAGTGACCAGAAAAGGGCCACCAGGAGGGTGAGGGACCTTGAATTCATGCCATACAAGGATTGCTGAAGAAAACTGGGAATGTTACGCCTAGTAAAGGAAGATTGAGGGCCTCATGTTAGCAGTCTTCAAGTATATGAAGGGCTGCCCTATGGAAGAGGCAGTAGACTTGTCTACTCAGCCCAAGATCGAAAAGCTAGGAACAATGAGTGAAAACTTGATAAGGTAGAGGTCAGACTAGATGTTCTCCTGGTCCATCCCACTTCTGAGGTTCTATGATTCAGGTTACCCCAGAGAAATGAAAATACTTACCCAGGGTTACATACCAGCAAATGACTCGTTTGGGAAAAGGCCATAGCCACCAGAGAAACCATTGAAATTCTAGTAGACACAAATAGTTGTCATTTTGTCAAGCTGTTTTGTAATTTTTACTCAGTTAAATTAATATCCTTTCAGAGAATCAAATACTCAGACACGAACTTACCCACCATCGTTTATGAGCGGAGCCCAGTTAGCCTCAGACAAGAACGCCTAGTGAAATATGAGATCAGAGCACAATCCCTGGTGGACGGAAATTGGCAGGAGTTCAGTACTAATACACTGACCCAAAAGTTTGGACTTATCAAATCAACTAGCAAAAGCCATGTAAGTTTCTACTTTCAATAATAATAATAACAACAATAACGATCAGCATTCATATAGTATCTTAAGGTTTACAAAATGCTTTACATAAATTACCTCACTTGATCCACAAAGCAACCCTGTGAGATAGATGCTATTATTATTATTCCCTTTTACAGATGAATCAACTGAGGCTAAGTGGTTAAGTGACTTGCCCAGGGATGCACAGCTAATAAGTATATGAGGCAGGATCTGAGCTCATCTTTTTGATTCCAACTCCAGCACTCTACACACTGTACCACCTAGCATCAACCTTGTAACTCTGAAGTTGATGCTGATCTACGGAGTAAAGTTTTCTCAGTTATTCTGAGCTAGCAATCTCATCTCTGTACAACATCAGGAGTTCTCTCCAATAATGAGTGGTCAGCATCAATTAATACAATCCAAAGTGGACACACTCAATATACGACCCAGATACAAGGGTTAACGTTGTACAAGTGAATCTTTTATTGTCCTCACATTAAGAATGAAAAGGCAAAAAAAAAAAAGTGTATGGGGTTGGGGAGGTGAAAAGAGTACTCACTATTAGAAATTTTACAAATAACAAAGAGGAAGGACCCCCTGGGTAAATTTTGACACAAGGGTCCAGAATTTAATTTGGTTTTTGGTCTTTTCAGTCATGTCTGACTCTTCATAACCCCATGTGGGGTTTTCTTGGCAAAGACACTGGAGTGATTTGCCCCGTTTCCATCTCGAGCTCCAAATGACAAACTAAGGCAAACAGGGTTAAGTGACTTGCCCAGGGTCACACAACTAGTAAGTGTCTGCAGCCAGATTTGAACTCAGGAAGATGAGTCTTCCTGACTCTAGGCCCAGCACTCTATTTATTGTGTCATCTAGCTGCCCTGAATTTAATTTACATCACCTCTATTTTTTTAATTTATTTTTTTTAATTTTTAGGCAGTTGGGGTTAAGTGACTTGCCCAAGGTCGCACAGCTAGTAAGTGTCAACTGTTTTGTCTGAGTCCGGATTTGAACTCAGGTCCTCCTGACTCCAGGGCTGGTGCTGTATCCACTGCACCACCTAGCTGCCCCATGTCACCTCTATTATTAGCAAAGTAGCACTCCCTCGTTCATTTATTTAGTTAATCATTCAAACAGTCAGTCAGTCAGTCAGCAAATGTTCTTTACTGTATAATGTGGGGAAAAAAAATTCTAGGCACTAGGGGAGGTAAAAAGATCAGATATGACAAGGTCTCTGCCCTCAAAGATCTCAGAGTCTGGTGGGACAGGAGGCAGAGCAGAGCACAAACTTAGGTAACTGATGCACAGTTATTATATGATAAGTGCATTACAGTAATATAAAAACAAGTGTTGTCTGAGGCTAGAGGAACTGGGTTTATTGATGGGTGAATCTGTGAAAGCTTCATAGAAAGTTTCAGGTGGCACCTGACTTGGACTTTAACAGATGGGTAAGATTTCAAAAGGTAGAAGGAAGTGGGAGGGCATTCCTGGATTAGGGAAGAGTTTGAGCAAAGATTCAGAGGAGGGAGAGTGTAGGATATATTAGAAAGATACAGTAGTTCAGTTTAGCTGGAATGAAAACTATTGGAAGAGATTAATATGAGGTAAGATTATAAAGGTAGGGTAATACCAGAAAGTGGAGGTCTTGACCACCAGGTAAAGAAATTCAAACTTGACTGAATAGAAAATTGGAAGACAGAAAAATGTTGGACTTTGAAGTGACATGAACAGATACATTTATGCATAAATTAGCAGTGATATGATGGTTATATTGATGAAGTAGGAAAAAAGGAGACAATCAAGACAGGATGACTTTTTAGGAGGCTATTGTAGTAGTCCAAGCAGGTAGGTAATGAGGGCTTGAACCATAGCGGTGACAATGGAGATGCGGAAGTATGGAAAAAGAGAAGAATGTCAATAATGTTACAGAGGTGAAATCAATGAGATCTGACAACTGATAGCATATGAGGGATGAGGGAGAGGAAAGAATTAAAGACAGACCTAAGACTTTGAATATGGGAGACTGTATGAATAGTAGTGCCAGTGACATAAGCAGTGAAGTCGGGGCAGGTTGAGTGGAAAAATAGTAAATTCAATTTTGGACAGGTTGAGTTTGAGGTGTTAGTAGCAGCAGCCGGATTTAGGTGCCCTGTAGGCAGCTGGGGATGCAGGTTTGGAGTTCGTGAAAAAGAGCAGGCCTGGAGTCACCTGCATAGAACTGTGTTAGTAGAAGTCGTGGAAATGAATGAGATTGCCAAGGAAAAAAGAGGACCAAGGATAGTTCCCTGGGAAATAGCTACTTTCAGGGGCCAAGAAGACAATGTAGACCCACAGAATGGGATAGAAGGAAAGGAAATCTCAGAGAATTTGAAGTGACTGATTGTGACTAATTGTGTTAAATGCTGCTGATTGGTCAAAGACAATGAAGATTGGGAAAAAAGTATATTGCATTTGATTGTTGATACTGGAGAAGAGCAGCAGAGTTGTGGGAGTAGACTCCAAATTTTAAGTGGTCAAAGAAAAAAATGAAAAGGCTGGAAGTAGTAGTATTTTGCATACATGAATGTATCAGGGAGTTAAGTAATAAAAAGGGAGGAGAAAAAATGGGATAGCAGCTGAGAGGAGTAGAAGGATCAAAGGGGTAAGTAGGAACATCACATTTAGTGAAAAAAATGAGAAAGTGGATGAATATGGTTGATTAGGGCAATTTAAAACAATGTTTATAGGCAGATGGAAAGGGGCCCATAGTAAGGATGAGATGAAAGATGCATAAGGTAGAGGAAATGGTTGTTGGAACAAAGTTAATGAGGAAATGGAAGGAAATAGGGTTAAATAAACAGAGGGATTAACCTTGGTGAAGAGTAGAGATATCTCTCCTGGGAATAGAGAGATGGAAGAAAGAGTGGGTATTAATACTGAGACTTTCTGAAGAGTGGAAGAGTAGGGACTGAAAGGTTTCACATAGGAAAACCTCAGTGAAAGAGGACTCTTCTGTAAGTGTGGAGTTGAGGTAGGGGAAGGGTTGGATATAAGAGGAGAAAGAAAAAAGGTTTAGAACAGCTAGTCTGGAGAATGAGGAAGGGAATCTATAGGGGTATATCAGAAGATTGTCAAATAGAGGCAAAAGAGACCCACTGAGGTACCATAAATTTGTAGTGAGTGAAATCAGCTCAATTTTGTGACTTTTTCTAATGCTATCCAATGGATCTAATGCTAGCCCTGGAGAAGAATTAGAAGAATAAGAAGATAGAGGATACCAAGATACAAGAACTCATATTTTTGGGACCCTATAGGTTCAGGAGACAAGGGATTGTAGGGTAGCAGCCAGTGAAACTTTCAAGTAGGATGAAAATGGTATAGAGTCAAACGGAGCTGAAGCAAGGGATAGATTAAGAAAAGAGGAATGAGTTAGGAGGCCAGAGGTCACAGCAAGTATGGAGACTGGATTTAGTGGGAGAGGTAGAAGAATAGGAGGTTACGGATAAGGATAATATAATTTCCAAGTTCTACAAATTTCAAGAGATCTAAAGTATATCTATATTAGCAAGTGGCTGAAAGTAGGGCAGAGAAGAAAGTTAATAGAATTGCTGTTCTAGAATAAGCCATTATAGATGAAGAAGAGAGGATGACTATGAGCCCTGTACTAAAATCAGGACTAGACATTCCCTAAGGTGCCTCCTAGCTCTAAATCTTATTAGCTGTAGAAATTACCCAGAGGTGGGAGGATGGCAGCAATCCAATACAAAAAAAAGTATTAAATACCTTCTATGTACAAGGCATGGTGCTAGGCACCAGGGCTATAAGAACAAAATACAGGGATACAAAGCTAGCGATATAAATAAGGAGTGGTAGCATGGGCTTCAAAAAAGGAAAGATCATTGAGGGATGATATTAGGGAAATGGTCTGGAAGTATTAATAGAGAACAAGAAATGTATCAATCCTCCTTCATGGTCTTGTATACTGGATGAATAAGTAACCTCCACTGGTGAGGACTGCAAAGCACAGTGGTATCAAAGGAGAGCCAGGGTTTTAATTTAAATGAAGGGTGAAATAGGAGCAATCAGGTGGTACAGTGGATAGAGCACTAGGCCTGGAATCAGGATGACCTGAGTTCAAATCCAACCTCAGACACTTACTAACTGTGTGACCCTGGGCAAGTCACTTAACCCTGTTTGCCTCAGTTTCCCCACATGTAAAATGAGCTGGAGAGAGCAATGGCAAAGGTGAAAATAGATATTAGAATTTAAGGATCTTAGGGAGCATGTGGAGAATGAAATGGGGATTCCAGTGGGGTTCATTCATATGCACCAAATAATGGGTTAACTGAGTTGAAATGGGCCTGAGCAAGAAGAATAGTGCTGATTAAAATATGGGATGATAATCTGAGGGGAAGCAATGCAACCTGTAACTGAGGCAGTGAGCTCATATGACCAGAACGGAGAACCAGTACCCTAGGAGGTAAGTTGATGCCCTAGTTCATTCTACTCAACTATATATTGGCATGTACCCAGTTATTTGGTTAAACAGAAACCAACATACAAATACTTCAACTTCAAATGATCTGTGAACAGGTGTCTAGCAGCAGTTCCATGCACAGTAGTTGATGAGAGGACACTAGGGCTTGCAGTTCTGGTAGGAACCTATGGGCACATGGATTAATATGATGAAATAGTGACCACAGAAGCCACAAGCAGAATGAACATGATTTTACCTGATACAGGTGAAGGCAGGGCCTTCCTTTTGTTTCTTTCTTTATTTCTTTTTACTTCATGGAGGTGTTGCTTCCATCCTAAACCCTCCCTATGTTTTGTTTCCCATTTTAGACCTTGAAAATCGAAACTGTGGGCAATCCTATCTTTGTGACTTTTGCATTCCTTTTTCCGGTATCATGACCATTTCCAGAAGAAATGATGGAATTTCTACTACCACTGATCAACATAAAAAGCAAAGCAAACTATTAAAGAGCTCACTCAAGTGAAAACTCCATGTTGCTGGTTGCTATTTGTCCCACTTTGACCTTTGCCTCCATTCAGCTCAGTTTAAGGTGAAGAGTCCACTAGACGTATGTTCATTCACCATCACCGTCTGCAAGTTGGCAGGAAGTAGTGAATGACTCTATTCTATATTATTCCATTCTAGGTTGGGGCATAAAGACTTGAAAAATGCATTAGCCAATGTATTATCAGACTGTACTTAACTCACTCTCCATTTCTGGGTTACTGTGCAGCCATGAAGACATGGCAAAACAAAGTTTGTGTCTGCATTGTAGGCACCTGAATAAGATAACACAACTGCAGGGGGAAGGGAAGGGAGTGAGTAGATTGTGTTCTGTTTCAACCACAGGAATGCAAAAATAAGATGATCTGTCCTATTTATCACTACATTCACTCAAAGGTATCAGGATGTCTTCAGACCATCTCATCTACTTCTTCCCCCATTCCTACCCCCCAAAAAATAGGATGACCATCTTCTCCACCTTTGTGTGGCATTTAATTCTGAAAAAGAAGACATCTATCATGGTTGTGGAGAATTAATAGATATTAGAAAAGGACAATGCTGAGAATGAGATGATGTTACCTAAGTTTGGTATTTTACCCTGGCTTTGGGGAAAGAGGGGAACTATGTGAAAGGAGCCAGGAATTGTGTGTGATTTCCACATCTTATGGCAGAGTTAGAAGATTGATTGTAAGTAGAGATGAGCAAATGAGGATCAAACAAAGAAAAGAGGGCAGAGGACAGAGGGCAGAGGGCTGGATTTTTGAAGGGTAGGTGGATATGATCTGGGAGGAAAATTATACTGGCTATAATTTGTAAAATGAATTAAAGGGAAAGAGGTCTTTGGAGAAGGTCATTATCAAAGAAAAGATCGCAGTAGTTCAGGGCCTAAATGAGGATGGTTACATAGAAGAGACATAACGTGCTGAAAGTGTTCAAGAAGAGGCCAAATAATCATCTATCATGGATGATGTTAAGGAAATTCCTACATTGGGTGGGAAGTTGGACCAGATGTCCTCAAAGATTCCATGATACTGTCACATGTGGGCAGAAAGAAGCACAACTCTATCAACGCCACACAAGGAGTTATTGTCAAAGGCCTGCACTATCTGGGGCCCATCTTAGTAAATTCTGACAGTGCTTCCAAAGCAGGATAAATGGTGATCACATGGAGAGGCATTCAGTTCACCCACTACTTGGAGGCCGCCATCCTCTGGCAAACACATCTCTAATTACAGAAGAAACTGTGCACAAATTGTTTTAAAAAATCCACTTCTTAGAATTTCTTGGTGAATGTACATCACTCACTGTGAAGAGATGACAAAGGTTTCCCCGTAAGCTGGTAGCGAATGTTTAGTAACATGTCACTATTACTCAAAGTAATCAAAATGATGAGCGCTGAGAGGAGGCTTACACATAGTCTGCTCCTCCAGAAGAGAGAGAGATGATGAGTCCCTACACATGGTATATGGATCTCTATTTCATGGATGTGACTTAAGTTGGTAAGACTTTGAGAAGACTTTGTTGTTTGTCTAGAAAGAGGAAAGCTCAGAATAACTATTTCATAAACCTTTAGAATTAGAAGGGATCTTAGAGGTCATCTAGTCCAAATAATCTCATTTTATAGTTTAGGAAACTGAGGCACAGGTTAGATGACTTGCCTAGGATTATTCAGCTAAAATATAATGGAATCAGGCCTCAAACCTAAATTTTCTGACCAGAAATCTGATACTCTAACTACTTTTCTCACTAATAATGAAAATCCTTCATTAAAATTTGTTTACTCATTTGGACCTTGTATGTGCCTGAGTTAGTTTGTCTCTCTGGGTATAAATTAAAATTTTCTTCTTAAGTTCTAATTCTTTGAAGAATCAAGTACAGAACTTTGTGACCTGAAGGGGACTGAGCTTGAAGATAAATCTAAATATGACTCTGGGACCTTGAGAGATGGACTCTCCTATCTTCAAGCAGATATGTTCTTTGAGAGACAGACTAGCTGAGGATTCAGTAAGTCTTAGCAGAACTGAGTACTGTTGGACTGTTTTATTTACATGGTACTTAAAGTGTGCTTACTGTTTTAAAAGTTCCTCAGCATATGCTTCTTGTCAATTGACTTATAAAAATATATCTATTCATATAATATTTTTTCTGTTCTACTTTGTATATGGAGACATTCTTACACACATGTGCCTATTTGTTAAATTCAGAATAAAAAATTAAATTAATTAAATTAAAAATACATATATAGTTATTTATCAATACGAATCATTCATATCACATTTATTTCTTTTATTGGTGTGTACTCCTTTTAATCTCCAGGAATCCTGAAACAATCACAGAAAGGGCTCATATATCAGCTAGTCAATGAGTATTTATTAAAATGCACTGCCCTAGCACTGGAGATAAAAGTCAAAAATCCAATGTCTGCCCTCAAGGAGCTCACATTCTAATGGGAGAGACAACATGAAAACAATTAGGTACAAAGAGGTTATATTTAGAGTGAATGGAAGGTGATCTCAGAGATAGGGCACTGTGGGGGTGGGGGCATCCAGAAAAGCCTCTTGAAGAAGATAGTATTTGAACTGAGTCAAAGGATGCCAAGAAGTAGAGGAGAGAAGGGAAGAACATTCCAGATATTGGGGTTGGAGGTGACGGGGTACTTGGGTGCTTATGTTTAGGTGCTTGTACTTGGACCCCAATTTCTCCCTAGCCTCAGAAACACTGTCCCTGACAGTTCCTCCCCAGCCCAAGGACCCTGTGCTTACCAATTACTCATGAGTGGGCCCCAGCAAGACCCTTATCTCTCTCCCTGGTGCAGTTCCAAACAGCACCTGAAGGATTTATTAGTTTAAACTGGCTTTGCACTGGGTCATAAAGACATTCTTACCCACTAGTGTACTATCCTACCGCCCTACCTTATTATCTACATCCTGGCCTCTTCATTAACTGTGTTCTAGACTTAAGACATACGTATACTCCCTACATCTATCTTGTCAAACAAGACATTGATTGGTGGCAGACTGAACAACTCTCAGTTACCCTGAACTCTATTTGATTTAGTGATGTAGCAGGCCTAAAACCACACTTCCATGTGGCCCCCCTTGTGGGCTTTTCCTAGTGAATTCTGGGTAAAACGCTTGCACAGTAGGTACAAGAAGGGCATGTTCTTTTAAGAACTGACCACTCCTTAACCACTCCCTCATCCCACCCTGAATCCCCTAGTTAGCATATTTGGCACATGTTTTTATTGTATTTTATCCTATGTAAACTTTAACTGTACCTCTCTAAGGTTGCAGGATCCTTTAAGAACCCTTGCCCACTGAAAAGCATAACAATAAACTTTGCCACCTTGGCTTAAAGAATGCTTAAGTCTGTGAATTCATTCCAGATGACCCATCCTGTACTTCAGTCTTTGAGGGGTCACAACCTCTCAACCTCTCAGCCTGCAACAGAGAGGCCAGGAGAGCCGATGAAAAGGCATGGGAAAAACAGCAAAAAGTCCAGTGTCACTGAATTATAGATTACACAAAGGGGAGTGAAGTATAAGAAGACTGGTAATGTAGGAAGGGGTCAGGTTGTGAAGGGCCTTGAATGGCAAAAGAAGGATTTTCTATTTGAACATGGAGGTCACAAAATGCCACTCAAGATTTTTGCCTGCAGTAGGGAAAGGGTGGCACAGTCAGACTGGCATTTTGGAGAAATCTTATGTCTTTGTTAAGTTTCTGCACCTGTAGAACTCCCTACTGGATTAATATCTGGCCTAAGAATAACTTGGGATATGTAAACACATCTCTCTGCAAACAGAGAAAAGCTTTAGTGGGTTGGCCCTCCAAGGCTTGATGAGAGCCCCCAAGAAGAGCGCAAAGATGATTAATTTACAGTTGTGAGACCTTGGGAAGATTTTGTTCGTTTTCTGGAATAAGGAAAGTCCATATTAGCTCCCTTAATCAATATTTGCAGAATGCTTAGCCATGATCACATACAATAACCTTACAGGCAGGATGAAAGGGATATCCTGGGATGTCAGGGAAAATTCCGCCACAGAGTTGTTGTTTTTTTCATACGAGGCAGCAAGATGCTAAAAGCAAATGGCCTCTAAAGACAGTGGAAACTTGGCTTCCCAGAAGAGGATCTCTTCCTAAAGGGTAACTGAGTAATAATGCTAATCCAGCTCTACTTGTTAACAACTTTTAAGTTCACAGGTAAGAAAATTTTAGAGAAATCAAGTTTTACCACTAATCAGCTACAACCATGGAGAAGTAGGCCTTCCTCACATGGGCAATATGATGCATTTCTTTCTCTCTGTCCCTTTTTCAGTCCCCTCTACTCATCTATGTCTTCTCTATCGCTTCATATTTCTCACTCCTCTTCCACTTTCTATGAATGACTAGTGTAGTATTCTAGAGAAGACGGCTGGGTGTCAGTAAATCAGCTCAACAGGCATTTGTGGGGAAATGAGGAAAGGAAAAAAAGTCTCTTCTTTCAAGGAGCTTCACAGTCTATCGAAGGACACAACACATAAACAGCTACATACAAATAAAACGTCCACAAGATAAGTTAGAGATAATCTTAGGGGACAGCACTAGCATAAGGGGAACAGGGAAAGGCTTCTTGAAAGAATGTGGGTTCTTAGCTGGTTCCTGAAGGGAGTCAGTTAATCTAGCTTCCATAGTTAGATGACCTATTCAAATAATTCAGCCTCTCTGGGCATCTGTTTCGTCATTTATAAATTGTGGGGGTCAGATAGGATGACCTAACCTAAGGTTGCTTCCAGTTCTAACATTGTATCATGATAAGTTTTTGGGTAACCCTATAATTCCATCACTGCCCACTAGAGGGAGTGGTCCCCCCTCAAAAAGTAAAAACCCAGCACTTCATAGCAGAAAGTAACCACCAAGAGATTAATTTGTGTAGCAATAAGGATAATTAAGTTAATATGTGTTGTTACATGCATCAAGTGTCAACTTTTCTGCATCTCCCCCTGGGGAATTTTGAGAGTGTGTGTGTTCATCCAAATAGCCTCAAACATACGTAATAAAAACATCTGAATTAAATCATTTGGATTATGTGTAAATAAAACTAACACAGAATCATAGACTGTTAGCCCTATTAAGGACCTTGGAGATCATTTAGTTCCACTCACCTACCCCATGTTTTACAAATAAAGAAACCGAGGCACACCAAGGGGAGGTGGTTTGCTTAAACTCCCACAGCTTGTTAGCTGCAGAGCTGGGAGCAGATGCTTGGTCTCCCAACCCCTACTTTGTGTTTGCTTTCTTCCTCAGCAGATGAGTCAACACGTGGAGGAATAGAGCTGCTTAGCAGCAGGACTCACCATAAACAAAACAATGATACCATCAGGGGTGTGCTGGAGCCAGCTCTAACAAGCTCAGAGAGAGGGCTCAATTGTTCAATTTTCAGTGTGAGGACTGATGCTTCAGAAACTGGCAACCTACAAACCAGGGCTTGTTTCATTGTTTTGTTGATTGTCTAGACTTAAGAAAGTGTTAATAGTACTGATTAAACTTAAAAGTGTAAGTGCATACTTTTTTTTTTTGAGAGCCTGGGTGTTAAACATTTACCTGCATGCTAGTATTGCTCTCTAAACATTGCTTGAGTTTAACAGGAGTTCAGTGGAAGGTTCAGGGAATGAAGTCAGCACTATCCTGGAGGCTAATGATAATATAATAATAATTATAATGTTTACATAGCATTTTAAGGTTTGTAAAGTGCTTTCCCTCTGTTATCTCATTTGAGCCTCACTTTACTCCTGGATCTGGCACGCTTGTCTTCACAGCTTTCGCCTACAACCTTCTACAATTACTTCCTCGAGGTACAATGCCTTTCTGCTGCCCTCTTACACTCTAGGTGTTGCCTAGCAACACCTCCCCAGATTCCCTTTCTCTATAATGTTCTTAATCTAATCTGCTTCAACAAGTATTTTAAAGGCTTACTATGTGTTAGTAACTCTGCTGTGCTCTGAAAGTTCAAAGACCAAAGAAAAGATTGTCCCTATCCTCCAGTGGCTTATATTCACTTAACCATTCTTTACTTTCTTTACAACTCTACAGAGTATTACAGAATCGCTGTCAGATGAGACTCCATTCAGGCCTCAACATGCATCCCCTTTATAACAACAGTCAATCATTCAAGCTTCTGTCGAAGACCTACAGTGATAGGGAACTCAGTGCTTCCCAAGGCAGCCTATTCCATTTTTAGATAGCTTTAATTGTTAGGATGTTTTTTCTTATATCAGTGCCAGGCCCAGAATCAGGAAGACTCATTTTCCTGAGTTCAAATCTGGCTCTGAGACCTTTGGCAAGTTACTTGCCTCAGTTTCCTCATCTGTAAAATGGGCTGGAGAAGGAAATGACAAACCACTCCAGTATCTTTGCCAAGAAAACCCCAAATGGAGTCATGAAAATGAGATACGACTGAAACAAATGAACAACAAACTTGCCTCTGTGGAACTTCCATCCATTGGTACATGGCCCTGAGACCAAGTAGAACAAGTATCCTTGTGCATTTCTTCAAACACTTGAAAACAGATTTCCCCTCTAATCTTCTAAGAATGGGTTAATAGGTTCAACCAGATTGCCAAAGAGGTACATGACTAAAAAAAAGTGATAGCTTTCTGATTTTGAAAATTCTTTTTTAACTCACCACAGTAATTTCTGCTTTTATCATCACAATTTTTTTCCTGAGAGCAGCCTAACCTTTCTGGGATGACTTACCCTTGTAGAATGCAAGGCCATGGGATTATAGGACCAGAGGTTTCTTTCTCTCACCTTCTCAAATCTAGGGTGCACATCAGACTATTCCCATCTTTATCTACCACAGATTCTCAGATGGAGGGGTCACTTCTTCCCAAAGTTTCTGTCATTTCTGCTTTAGCAACCAGTTCCTCCGTATTAGTTATAATGAGGTACAGGTGAGCCATTCCCTTCATTATTTCATTTACCTTTTGAAAAATGCAATCATCATTGAGTCAAGTCAAAAAACATATAAGCTGCTGTGCTCTGGGTGAAGAGATAACATGTACACCACACTTTACACATGATTGTCGAATTGGGTTGAACTCAACTGTGAATCTAGGTCTCCAGCCTCTTATAACAGCATTGCCATTGGAACATTTGGGGCCGAGAAATTACCCCATTTA